ATGTATGTGTGTGTGTATGTGTGTGTGTATGTGTGTGTATGTGTATGTGTGTGTGTATGTGTGTATGTGTGTGTGTATGTGTGTGTGTATGTGTGTGTATGTGTGTGTATGTGTGTGTGTGTGTATGTGTATGTGTGTGTATGTGTGTGTGTGTGTGTATGTGTGTGTGTGTGTCTGATGGCCTGGATGTTGACTTGCAGTGGTGTAACGTTTTCTGGTGACCCCATTTCTATTTACTTCAGAGAGAGGGCAATGAATGAATAAAAGGATTCCATCCAAGTCTACATGGGTCAGTCATTGAGTTTATCGAGTTTACTTGCAGCAGCATAAACAACTCATGTCAGGTAATTGACAGCTTCTCTAGGCACTACTTATAAACCCTCAGGGAGATGTAGATCTCATGAGCCTTCTCTCCTTCCATAAGGGAATCGTTAATGAGTCAGTGTTGTAAAGGTATTTCAATGATCTCAGCTTCCATAAGTAAAACCCAAAGTAATCTCCCATATCTATCCCAGAGGAAACAGCCCCACAATAACCAAGGTAGCAGCTTCACAGACTTCTCCATCAGCTTCCTCTTTGAGTTCATCTTTAGAAGCTGGGCATCCTTGGCTTCTCAAGCATCTGAATGAGCATTGGATTCTGTACCAGCTTGACGCAGACAGGTTAGAAGCCATTGTGTTGCTTCTCTGACTCTCTCTTCCAGACCTTCACTTCCCTAGCTCCACCCTTCTTACCTATAATCCAGATCTACTAGTATTTCTGTTTACCACAACGTGGAGTTCTTTGTCTCGGAACTCATCCTTGTCATAGAGGGGAGGGTTCCCCAGAGGTCGATTTACCTTTTGCTAGACTCAAGTCTTTCCATTCAAGAACAAGCTACTGTAGGCATAATTTTCAGTCCTGCCTGTCAGCTCCCAAATAACCACACAGAGACTTATTATTAATTATAAATGCTCAGCTGAAAGCTTAGGTTTGTTACTAACTAGTTTTTACAATTTAAATCAACCCATATTTCTCATCTAAGTTCTATAATGTGGCTTAGTACTTTTCTCAACATGGCATGTTTATCTTGCTTCTCCCTGCATCTCCTGGAGACGCCATGCACCCTCATCCAAGTGCTCTTTCCATCTGCAAGTCTAGCCTAACTTCTTCTTGCTTAGCTATTGGCCATTTAGCTCTTTATTAAACCAACGAGAGCAGCACATCTTCACAGTGTACTAAAAGATTATTCCACAACAAGCTGATTTTGCAGTGAACAGAGAAGAGCTGAGAAATAGTTTTGAGAGAGTAATCTCAGGATCCATCCATCCATCCATCCATCCATCCATCCATCCATCCATCCCTCCATCCTTTAACAAACAGAAAGAGAAGAGCTATGCCAGGGAATGTTCTAGAAATGCTAATTAATGAAAAAAAAATCAAACAGATATAGCTCCCTTAGAGTTTATATCAGACGAAGGAGAAATGACCAGTAATAAACATATGGATGTGACCTCTATCTGTTTATTATATGCTACTGTAAACATAAAGTGATAGAGAATTGTGTAGGTTATGGGGAGAGCCATCTAAATGGAGGTAGACAACCCCAGGAAGCGTTTGTTATAGTTTGATGAGCAAGTATGTGAGGCCTTGAGGTAGTAAAGAGATAGGAAAGCAACAGCAATTATTTTGTGTGTGTGCAATGGTGACAAGTTTTGTGTTGAAAACACTAATAGCGACTTCAAGCCCAAATGAGCGAGGAACTTCAGGATTCCGAGGCCTGGAGCCTGGGGATATAGTTTAGTTGGTAGAGCGCTTGCCTCGCATGTATAAAAAGCTCTGGGTTAATCTCTAATACTACATAAATTGGGTGTGGTGTATGTGCTTACTGCCAGGACTCCCCTTCCTCAGAGCAGAGTCAGGGTCCTTTGCTTGGTCAGTAGAACCTGGGCTGGATTGCAGTTTCCCTTGAGCAGGGCCTAGTCTGCATCATTTGCAATGTTGGATGGATTAGCAACTTATGCTAAGCATTGAGCTGCCTGAGGTCTGAAGAGTTTCAAAATCTCTTGCTAAGGAGGGATTTGGTGAGTAAATATCCTCCATCTGGTTATGTGGAGGGCAACTTGCTGTGGATATGCCTGCACTCATTGTGAAGTACGCTGGTATGTCTCATGCTTTGCTGCTTATCTTATTGTGATAGTTTAAAGGCTTTCTTGGGCACTGTTAACCAGAAGTGCATGAAACAAGGTTAACCTTTTGGACATCACTTCCGGATCTTGGTGACAGGGCTCAAGGGACACCCAGGCTGGTTATAGAATTGGGGTTATCAAAGGTTTGCATGTATTTTTCAGCTTTGTATAACAGGGAAGAGAAGGCCTAGTCCAGTCAGATGCAGGCTCCACAGCCATTGATCCAATTTTCATGATTTCTCATTAATTTGGTTTGGTCAGCTCTGTAGGTTTCTCCATCATGATCCTGATGCACTTGCTCATAGAATCTCTCTTCTCTCTCTCCCCGACTGGACTCCTGGAGCTCTGCTTTGGAGTGTTGTATTTGGTTTTTGGCTGTGGATCTTTGCATCTGCCTCCATTGGTCACTGGAGAAAAGGTCTGTGATGACAGGATATTCACTGATCTGATCACTGGGGCAAGCAAGTTCAGTTCAGGCACCCTCTCCACTATTTCTAGCAGTCCAAGCTGGGGTCATCCTTGGGGATTCCTGGGAACTTCTCTAGCACCAAGTTTCTCTCTGTCCCCATGATATCTCATCTATCATGGTATCTCTTTCATTGCTTTCCCCCTCCATCCCTGTTCCAGCTCAACCATCCCAAGACAGTTGTGTAGCACGATTTGCTTGGGGCACCCCCTTGCAGTAGGATCAGAATCCATCCCTGGTGCATGAGGGTTTTTTTGGGGGGGGCACTACATTTGATGGAAGACCTCATGCAGCCTTGAGGCAGGGGAAAAGGCTTGGACTTGCCTCTACTGGATGTGCCTCCCCGTGGGAGGTCTTGCTTTCTTGTGGAGTGGGGGGAGTGAAGGATAGATTGGAAGGGGGAGGCTGAGGGGGGTGGGAGGAGGGAAGAAGGGAATCTTTGATTGGTATGTAAAATGAATGAAAAAATTCTTAATAAAAAATAAAATTAAAATAAAAAAGGAAGAGAAGTGGAGGGGAAGGAGAAACATTGGACCCTTACTATGTGCTCAGTTCTGTTATGGGCTCTGAACCCAAGTGTCATTTGAGTCACATCAGAAACAATGAGGCAACTGCTTCCAACCCCATTCTATCCAGGAAGACTCTGAAGTTCACACTATGTTCCTTGCCAGTGACATCAATCAGCAGAAGTAGAGTGAGAATGGGAAGACTGTCTCATTAGAAGCCTAGTGAGGAAAGTAAAAGCCAATTGCTTTGGCCAAAATAGTTTGCAAATAGGCTTGGCTGGCAGCGGGGCTGTGGATTGGCTACATTCCTTTGCCTCCTGTGCAATGCGGTATTCCTCTTTATTTCTAGGATGAGTTATCTTACATTGGCAGTATGCAGATCAATGTGCCACAACTGGAATCTGATTGGCCATGAAGTCAATATTTCAGAGAGAGGAGTTTTTCACTAAAGGTATGTGTTTGCTCTCCTCTGAGCAGATCAATCTCAGCATTCATTGTCAGGTATCTCTGCTGTGGGCACATGGGCACCTGTCTGGTGGGAGGGATTTATAGTAATATTAGTATCACCTTGGACACTGTGTGTGTGTGTGTGTGTGTGTGTGTGTGTGTGTGTGTGTGCATCTCTCTCTCTATGTGTGTGTGTGTGTGTGTGTTTGTGTGTAAGAGAGGGATGATGATGAAGATGATGTTGATGATGATGCACACATACTATCTTTAACATAGAATTAATCTGATACATATATATATATATATATATACAAATATATATATACAAATATATATATATACAAAGTCTCTTTGTTTACTTGGTTGGGTCTGAGCTGCTGTGGGACTGGTGGGTGACAAAGATTTGTCCTGACTGTGGGCAAGGCAGGAAAACTCTAGCTATACATATGTGGGGGACATGGAGTCTTTCTCACTTTGGCTCTTCTTTTCCTAAGGTTCTGAAACCTGGTGTGAACCAACTCCTTGGAGAATCTTAAACCAGAAGTAAACATCCAGGTATGGGGAAAGATTCATGTTCCTCTTGCTGGTCACTTGAAATTATAAATTTTATGACCCAAGAACACTGTTGAGTCAGGTTATTGCCTTTTGGTGAACTGAAAAGATAGAAGAAGGGAAGAAACAACTAACCTATAAGTCATACCAGGTTAGAAGAAGCAGGGAATAGAACTTCACTCAGAAGACAGAACAGAAAGGTTGATTTTAATGTAATTAATTGCTTACAGACATGACGCAGCCTTTACTTGGCATTTAATTGGTGTTCATGTTCTTTTTCTTTCTCCTTATAAATTCTTAGACTGCTTGTGTCTACTGACTATCAATTAGCCTTTGGTACCTCAGATAATGTAGTTTCCTACCTGCTATTTTCTCAGCTACATACTCCCCTTCTTCTGAGAAGAACTGGCTACAGAGATGGAAGTCAACTGTACATAAACTATGCAGTGAAGGGAACTTGACTTATGTAATGAGGTAGTCTGAGGATAATTGCTTTTAGGATTTAAGGTAGCTCCACATTTATATTTCTTCAGCTCAGCAGTCCTATATCTACTATTCCATTTCCCCTTGGTACACCTGATTCTGTAGAGCCTGACTGGAATGATGAACACACCCTGAACCAGAACCAATCACTTTGGCCAGGTGAAGTTGAAATCTCATTGGCCAAGCCTGGACCCCCTGCCCACTCCCCAGAGTTGGAGAATTGAAGCCCTGTAAATGGCAGAGAGAAAAGAAGGAGGAAGGGATGTGGTTATTGTAAGAGAACAGGAATTACAGAAACATCAAACCAGTAAGCATTACATGACTAATACTTTGTAGTCAGGTATTTCATATTAATAACTCAAAAACATGTGTAAGTCCATGATTTGTGTTCTTGCTGACAGTAAAGGGCAAGGAAGCTACTTTTTCTGTGGTATTGAGGACTGCAGAGTCACAGTTGAGATAGCGGGACATAGAGAGCCTATATGACACCCCCCAAAGTAACAACCTAGACAGAAAGCCATGGAAGAGAAACATTAAAAATTGTGATAAGAATGCTGAAGTGTAACTCTCCACAATTGATGGCTTCTGGCAGGGGTGTGGTTGGGGAAGGACTCAGTTCTCTTTAAGGGGCTGGCCACCAGGAGTTTGATCATGCTCCAGTGAGTATATGGGCAACACAAATTGGACTTGTTTTTTTTTTTATTATTTTCTTCATTTCTTTGGGGGGGGGGATCACAAGGGTGGGTGGGGGCAAACCAGGGAGGGCTAGGAAGTGAGCATGCTCAGAGTTCATGATGTGAATTCCTAAATAATCAATAAAAATATGAAAACCCCAAAAACAAAATGTTTGTGCCTATGACTGTCCCTCCCCAGTACATCTGCAAGCTTCACAAAGGTAGGTGTGTATCTGTTCTGTTTACTGATAGATTGCTACTGCCTGTCATAGGGCATGGCACATGGTGAACACTTGGGAAGTATTAGCTGAGTAAGTGGACGGATGGATGGATGAATGCTTAAGCATTTGGTATCCTTCATCTGGTCGTCAGCGTTGAACTCAGGACAATGAAGACAAAACAAAAGATCAAGCAAATTTGTCACTTTCCTCTGCTTCCTTTTGTAATTTTAAAATCTGAGTTTTCCACCCCCCATTTGTATTCTGTACTTTTAGAGAAATAGAAGGTTTGTAGAGATGCTCTTCAGTACAGACTAGATGACACACAAAGACATCTATTTCCCTGTGTGCTGCTCTTGCAGTGTTTGTGAGTTAGGACATCAGGGTTCTTTATACACAGTGCTTAATTACCCTTCACTTCCTGGTCTGTGTTGGTTAGGTTTTTTTGTCAGCCTGATACAAGATAGCATCATCTGGGAAATGCCTCCATCAGATTGGCCGGTAGACAAGTCTGTAGAGCACTTTTTTGATTGATTAGTATGTGAGAGAGCTAAGCCCACTGTGGGTGGTGCCACCTCTGGGCAGGTGGTTGGGGGTTGTATATGAAATAAGGCTGAGCAGGCCATGGAGTAGAAGTAGCGTTTCTCCATGTTCACTGACTGCTTCAGTTCCTGCTTCCAGGTTCCTTCCCTGCTTGAGGTTGTGCCTTGGCTTCACTCCACAATAGACCATGGTATAGAAGTATAAGGCAAACAAACCCTTTCTTCCCAGAGTTGCTTTTGGCCATGGTCCTGATCACAGCAATAGGAAATGAACTTGAAGAATTGTGTCTTCACCCCAGGTGGAGCTCCAGGAGTCCAATAGACAAGAGAGAGGAGGGATTATATGAGCAAGAGATATTGAGACCATGATTGGAAAAAGCACAGTGACAAATTGCCAAACTAGCAGAAACACATGAACTGTGTATCAATGGCTGAAGAGGCCCCATGGAACTGGACTAGGCCCTCTGAATAAGTGAGACAGTTAGTTGATTAGCTTGAACTGTTTAGGAAGCTCCCAGGCAGTGGGACCAGGACTTATCCTTGATGCATGACCTGGCTTTTTGGAGCTTAGGGACTATGCTGAGGCACCTTGCTCAGCCTTGGTGCAGGGAGGAGGGGATTGTACCTGCCTCAACTGAATGTACCAGGCTGGGCTGACTTCCCAGGGGAGACCTTGCCTTGGAGGAGGTGGGGATGGGGGGTGGGTTGGGGGAAAGGCTGGAGAATGAGAGGAGGGAGGACAGGGGAATCTGTGGCTGATATGTAAAATGACTAGAAAATCTCTTATATAAAAAAGAATTGTGTTTTTCTAGAAAAAAAACCTATAAAGAAGGGCATCTGATACTCATGGAAGGTAGTCAATGGACTCTGCCTCCTGAGTACAGGGAACAGATGAGGTTTAATTCCACCATTAGCTTAAGATTGTCTGGACTCTTCATAAGGTTTTCAGAAAGTGGTCCTTGGTGTGTAGTGCTCAGCTTTGAGAGGCTATGTGGAATCAGAGTGTACCCTGTATACCATTGATGATATCCTTAGAGAATGGACGTAATTTCATCTTCCCCTTCACATTATTTCTCTAAAAGTCCCCTTTCTTGGTCTCAAACCTCAGTTAAGATGGCTTCCTGGATGTTTCCTTGCAAAAGGTAGGCACATACATATGATCTTTCCACCTGGTGATATTTTCTCCCTGACCCTCCATACATAGAGAAAGAATTTCTAGTTTGGGCATTACTTCCAAGAAGCTCTGCATTTTTGAAGCTCTGTTCACCTCCGTGCCCTCTACATGTTCTTAATCTCTATTTCCAACTGAACATTGCTGTGGGATGTTCTGTATGTTGTGAATATATGTTTCTATGATTGATTGATAAATAAAACATTGATTGGCCAGTAGCCAGGCAGGAAGTATAGTATAGGTGGGACAAACGGAGAGGAGAATTCTGGGAAGTGGAAGGCTGAGTCAGAGAGACACTGCCAGCCGCCACCATGAAAAGCCAGATGTAAGGTACCGCTAAGCCACGAGCCATGTGGCAACTTATAGACTAATAGATATGGGTTAATTTAAGATATAAGAATTAGATAAACAAGAAGCCTCCACAGCCATATCTGAGTGGCTGCGGGACTGGCAGGTGAGAGAGATTTGTCCTGATGGTGGGCCAGGCAGGATTGGAGAAAACTTCAGCTATGGAACATTCTAGCCTTGATCCTAGATCCAGTTGCTCTTTACTTTCTGGTCCATTATGATGTGAAGAATCTGCACACCATATACTCTCACCATGATGAAGTCCATCATACCTTCCCTGCCATGATGTCTGCAGATCCCTGGAAACTACAAGCCCAAAGCAGTCTGACAATGATGTTTGCATTAGTTCCTTTAACATCACTGTCAGCATAATGCCAAACAGAAACTACTTCTGAGAGAAAATGTTTACTTTGGCTTTTAGTTTCAAAGGCAAGGAAGGTATGGTAGAGTTAATGGTAGTGGGTACCGAGTGGTGCAAGAATTCTTCACATTATGGTGAAGCAGGAAGCTGTGAGCAGCCAGATCCAAAGACGGGCTCTAACTATCTAGAGCCTGCCCTTAGTTACCCACTTCTGTCAGATATGCCCACTTCCTAAAGACTCCACAATTGTTTGAAAGAGCCCTACCACTGGGTAATAAGTATTTAAAACAAGAGCCAGTGGGGGACATTTCAGATTTAATCCATAACAATGTTCCATTAGCGGATTCTTGGCTTTCAAAGCCTTCCCTCACCTCCAGAACTCCAGTTAAATAAGTTTGATATCTGAGAGAAGAACTATAGTTTTATAACATAATGCTAAAGAGAATACCTTATGCACAAATCTCATTTGACCAATGATTTACAGGTAGTGTATTAGAGTCTCTGCTGCAAACAGTTGACTGGATGCAAGGTGTTTCTGAAGAAATCTTAGCACTAAATATCTAACAAAGATAAGAGTTCAGGAGAGGTCATTTCCTGGATGTTCATCTTGATTCCCTTCTCCTATTCTGACCATGTATTTCTTCTTCCCAAGAAAAATACAGAAGCTTTAAACAATTCTGTGTTAGTGGCTATTGATAACTTTTTTTGTGTATATATTAACACAAATGTCTTCTGTACATGTGTGTTTCCTGACTCTGGGTAGGTAGTGAGATGCTCAGGGAAGATGCAATGTTTGCTATAGACTAGACTCTGGCCTTGTTCAGATTTAGTCAGGAAGTTATTGGCTTCTTAAGAGGAAGTGACATGTTTTGGGTACATTTCCGAGGAAGTCAGTGCCAGTAGGCTGAACATGGAGTGATTGTAAAATGATTTGTGATGGAGGGTGAGATTAAGCTGCACCGTGGACAACAAATAGGAGTTTGATAGATAAGGGGAGGAAAGGGGCTGTTTTCAACTGGCAAGACAGAATAGCTAGAGCACAGGCTTGGAATTGGGAAGGACTGTGATTTATTAGAGCAAAGTGAGGCAGGAGCAAAGCCAAACTCTAACGAGAAGTAGGACACTTGGAGGAGGCTGTAAGGATTTCTACTCCCTTCTCTCATGAAAATTAGCACTGAGGCTCAGCTAGGGCTGAACTGGTGGTAGCTGATGATGGCAGTGTGTAGTAAGGAGCAGCCTGTGTCCCATGCAGGA